TCATGGAGCCATCCGTTAACATAAACTTGGAAGTCTCTCTTGAGTTTATTGGCCATGTTCTTGTGATCTTCTATGCATAAAGCTCAAATCCACTTGGAGTCACTCATCATAAATTTGTCTCCATATGGACTTTGTTTATCTTGAATTGGATCTTTTCTTCCACTCAAATAGACCAAACTGTGAGGATCTTTGAATATATGGACCTTGTCATGACTTCCATGATTCATAAGGCCTAAACCATGACATTTTTAAGATCATGAAGCCGTGAGCTTTAACATACGCTCCTTTGTGAGCTCTTAAGATCATATGGCCATGATTTCCTTTATGGTTGTGAGCTTTCAAGCTCATGTAAGCTCCCATTTTGCCGTGATCTCCCATGTGGTCTTTCATGTAAGTTTGAATTACATCTTGGCCATGGGACCTCATGTCGCCTAGAGTGGTTTGCCCCACCTTGGCTCGTATCAATAGCAATATAATTCATTATACTTTTTATTTTCAAAAAGAGAATCATCAACTATTATATCATCATTCTGCAATAGTTGAGTTGGATTACTAATGAATAGAGTTTTCCAACTCTATTTGCACAAATTTGTAGTCATTTCTTTGATGATATCTTGATGCATAGCAACGTGGTTGAAATATATTGGATACTCAAGTCAATTTTCTCCTTCCTCAACACTCATAAATTATTCCTAAAGAAGTTTAATGTTCTCCTTAACACATATATAAATTGTATATTAAGTCATAAAAAGATCTTTCATGGAGTTCTAGCTGGTACTCTCGAAATTTTGGCCATGTTATAGAGGCCAAAGCTAACAATTACTAAAAGACTTTGAGAGTTTCTAGTTTTAACCAGGCAACATCGAAAATCACTGAAAGATTATTGTATCACTACGACAACATTAACTGTCATGCCATGAAAAATTCCTTCATTTGGAATCTTGATGGTTTGGCTGCATTTGAACAAAAGACTGCCACAACTACTACCCCACTCCTTGCACTCCCAGATTTCTCCTAAAACTTTATCATCTAGTGCAAGAAATTGTAATACAACATATGGGCAATGCTATATAAGGAAATCTAGTTACTAGCCTTTGTCAATAAAATATCAGCAACCCATGACCATAAGCTCCCTGCATGTCAAGTGTAGTCGCAAGTGGGTGACTATACGTTGCTTCGGCTTCATCCTTGCAGGCGATTTTCTCTTGCGCTTAGGCCTAATAAAAAGTTTGGCCTTTGGTTTTATGGTCCTTTGTGCAAAAAATGTTGTAATAAATTAGATACTTCTTATTCTCCATTCTATTATACAGAGTGGAATAATCCTAATAGGTGAGGTATCATTCTTCTAGAAGGTAAGGTGGCATGGTAACAACAGAAATCTATTATCACCCCTTCCTCATATTCCTGAAAAGATGTCTAGTTTTCTTCCATAAATGGCACCCTTTGGTGCCTGAAATTAATAAGAGAAAGAAGGGAGAATTTCTTCACTAAATCTCCATTCACAAAACTCTTCATGGTATCAAAGCTCTGATCCGAGAGCTTCCTTTAGCTGAGCCAGAATTCAAATGGCCACAAACGAGCTCAATTCCTCTCCTCCCGAAGTCTCTTCGGGTTCCTACCTCCCTGCAACTCCGAACCACAGCCTAGTTGAGCAGGCATTATCGTTCATCACGGGACACAAACTGAACGAACAGAACTACCTCCAATGGTCAACCTCCGTCTT